TTTTTTGTAAATTACGTGTTTAAATTTAACAAAATCAATTTTTCTTCTTTCCTAATTAATATGTAAATAATTTTAATTTATTAAAAAAAAAAACCTTGTGGCCCGTAAGTATATACAGCCAAGAGTCCGTACCAAACCAGCATTTCCTTCAAAAAAATCTTTCAAGAAAGGAGCCGGACCTTGTGGCCCAATGATTCGATCTCAAACTTTAAGTACTTGAGTGAGGTAGTCGGATCTTCGAGCTCCACCATCGTCGTGAACTCCATAAAAAAACGGCTTTCTCCTCCATGAAGTTTCTTTTAGTTTAGTTGTATAGTCTCATAAAAAAAATAAAAAAAAAAATCCTGCTGTGCGCTAAATGTTGTTACAGGCCCTACACCATGCTATTGGACAAAATATTAATGCAATTTACAAGTCAATTTGCAGCCATGAAATCACCAGCGAGTAGTGGCCCAACTAAAATATTAAGAAGAAAATTAGATATTCAAATTTTATATTTAATTTGCAAACATCATAGAAGATGATTATGCTAAATTTCACGGCTATGAAAAACGAAATTATATAATTTAAATGTAGAAAAATTATTTAAAATTTATGTCATTATGGTCAATATTCATTTGAATTTCAATTTTTAAAAAATTATTCTCACAAAATGTTAATATACATTAACCAATCAAACTAAGCTATGTTCTTTAAAAATAAAAGTAAAATATTTTAAAAAATTAGCATACAGAATTATAGTTATTACTAGGAGACAAAACAACTCACATTTTACAAATCTTCAATAACAATTAGAATTATGATAAATATGTTAAATAATCAAAGATATTCTTAAAAAATCAAAACTATGACTTATAAACAGTAGTGAGTTTCATTTCCTAGATTGGAAAACAAAGTTTATCTATCACTTATAACTAAATACAAACACATTTATATTCGACATGTATAATTGCCAAAGGAAAAATAATTTTTTTCATTAAACATAATTTAAGAAAATTTGAAAAGTGAAAAATAAGACATAAAATACAAGGAAATTCAACAAAATTTTGTAGAAACACAACACTATCCATTAAAGAAAATTTTTTGTATACAACTTGTATTTTGAAAATTTTTCTTTTCTTAATTATTGTTACTTTTCTTATTTATATAGTATAATGTTTTTCTAATTGTTATGTAATGTGTTGAACTGAAACATATACTAATTAGTATCCATAATAAAATTTAGAAACTTCTCAAATGAACATTAGATAAATGTCTTTTTAAAAAAAATTCCTATTTTAACTGCAATTCTTCAATATTCTCAACTAAGAACAAGAGCAACCCAGGACAGAGAAGATCTTGCAAGCTCTTGGGCATTGGAGTGCTTGGGAACACAGACTTTTAGTAAAGTTCAATAGGCATGGAAGCATCCACAACACCAAGCTGCCAAACTGTTAATCAGTATAGCTTCTTTTACATTCAAAAACAATACAAAACTAGAGATAATTAATATTTACAACATATAGATAATTGGTTTTATGGCATATTGATGAAATGCATTTTTATATGCTTTAATCTTTTATTTTAGGCTTGAATTTATTGCTATTTGGATGAATAAGATTTGATTTTCAATTAATTTTGGACAATGATTGGTGCACACCCGGATTCAACACCCGGGTATGCACCTCTCACATAAAAAAAAAAAATTGGACTGGGTGATGGGCATTTTTTTTTTATATGATGTGTGCACACTCGGGTGTTGGATCTGAGTGTGCACACATCATTTTCCATTAATTTTACATGATTTTCATTCTTGAATGCACGATAAAAGAAGTTTTTGGACTTAATTGAATATTTTTTGAAAGTTTAGGGACTATCTGGGCATAAGAAAGATTCTTTCAGGGACCTAAATGAATGAAGTCTAAGTTATAAGATCAAAGTGCTCATTTTCAAAAGATTGAGGACTAGATTGCCATTTTACCATTAATAAAATTACAAAAGACCCAAAAACCCGACAGGGGTTTTGCGTCGACAACATGCGTTAAGCCTTTGAAAAATAAGTGCCCGGTGAAGTAAATAAATGTGCCTCTTAACTTATGGACTTTGCAGTTTGGCAGGTATACGTATCGACCCTCTAAACACTTTCAGCTTTAAAAATGTCCATTTTTGTCAGTCGTACTTCCTTCCTATTATAACTTTTTAAACTCTATAAATATCTAGTTAAAATTAGATTTGAAGAGCCTTTGAGAGACTATAAAGAACCCTATATTAAAAAAAAAAAGGATTTATGATTTTATATTATTAAATTGTTTGACTTAGATTTTGCTTCTAATATCAAATATTCTTCTATTTATTATGGGAGATTTG